TAAACAGCACATATCAAATCAATAGCTGCGAGTGATAGCGAATGTTTGGAAGTTAGTTTATATTACAAACAACAGGCATCTCATCTCATCATTAACTTCTGAAATCCGAGGCAGTTTAGCGGACGTTCCCATGTAGCATCATGCTAAGGCTCGCTGCGCCTCCTGATTAATTTCACAGTCGTTGTGATGCAGGGGAGCAAGGGACGCACTGGCAAGCTTGATTAGACACAACGTGTACAGATGTTCCTCAAAGCTTCAAAGGGAGATCCTCACTGAGAGCTGTTATTGTGGATGGGGATGTGCTGGTGACTGGTGATGATTTCCTGGATGTCTTGGATGGTTGGTCTTGGAACAACATTGATGCACATAAACATAGTTATATTACTAACCTAAGTCAAAGTATAAACTCAAGAAGTGATACAGTAGTTAGAAAACTGCTGTATGGATTAATTTCATGCTACCTTACTGTTCATTTTGGAGCTTGAAAGTTTTGGACCCCATTGAGTTAGACTAAAAACTTCTGAAGCTTTCTTCAAAATATCTTCTTTTGAGTTCTTTTGAGTTGAACTATTTAAAGAGGTGGCGGTATGATATGATATGATATTTTCCAACTCAGTGATTCTGATTATTTAGGTTTTTCTGACATGTTGGTGTTATATCTTTCACTTGGATGTTATAAGCTGCACAGAGTAAATACAGATGGATAAAACAAAAACGATGTCCGTCTTCATTGTTGCAAAGCAACAAAATGTGATTATTTTAAAGGGAGTGATTCTTTTCTAAACCCACTGTAGATCCTATAAGTATCCTACGAAAACTTACTAGTAAGATCGAACATATTCATACAAATTAGCCAGCAATTCCCCAAAACGTCAAACAGTTAAAAAAAATAAATAAAAATTCTATGAGACTGTGTCGTGAGCTCTGCAGAAGCAAAAAAAAAGAAAGCCATACGAGTTTATAACGACATGAAGATCAGTATTATTATTATTAATTATTACACGGCTCTGTGGAATACTTGATTCTGATTGGTGAATCGTGCCATCCAGCGGTAATAATTCTCATTTGCACACCCTTGATAATTATTCCATAATTAAGTGTGTTTATCAAAGGTAAACTGCATACTTTATAAAACTATAAACGTTATTCTGCATTCTGACATCTGTGCATCCCACAGATGCAATATATGAAACCAATTTATTCAAAAACAGTCCCTGGTTTTGTTATATCATGAGAAAGTTCCATATTTAAAAAGAAACTCGCTTGTAACTTTCAAACTAGTTTCCCTAACATTTTTTTTATCACTGTAGAATATAATATCAAATAAACAGCACATATCAAATCAATAGCTGCGAGTGATAGCGAATGTTTGGAAGTTAGTTTATATTACAAACAACAGGCATCTCATCTCATCATTAACTTCTGAAATCCGAGGCAGTTTAGCGGACGTTCCCATGTAGCATCATGCTAAGGCTCGCTGCGCCTCCTGATTAATTTCACAGTCGTTGTGATGCAGGGGAGCAAGGGACGCACTGGCAAGCTTGATTAGACACAACGTGTACAGATGTTCCTCAAAGCTTCAAAGGGAGATCCTCACTGAGAGCTGTTATTGTGGATGGGGATGTGCTGGTGACTGGTGATGATTTCCTGGATGTCTTGGATGGTTGGTCTTGGAACAACATTGATGCACATAAACATAGTTATATTACTAACCTAAGTCAAAGTATAAACTCAAGAAGTGATACAGTAGTTAGAAAACTGCTGTATGGATTAATTTCATGCTACCTTACTGTTCATTTTGGAGCTTGAAAGTTTTGGACCCCATTGAGTTAGACTAAAAACTTCTGAAGCTTTCTTCAAAATATCTTCTTTTGAGTTCTTTTGAGTTGAACTATTTAAAGAGGTGGCGGTATGATATGATATGATATTTTCCAACTCAGTGATTCTGATTATTTAGGTTTTTCTGACATGTTGGTGTTATATCTTTCACTTGGATGTTATAAGCTGCACAGAGTAAATACAGATGGATAAAACAAAAACGATGTCCGTCTTCATTGTTGCAAAGCAACAAAATGTGATTATTTTAAAGGGAGTGATTCTTTTCTAAACCCACTGTAGATCCTATAAGTATCCTACGAAAACTTACTAGTAAGATCGAACATATTCATACAAATTAGCCAGCAATTCCCCAAAACGTCAAACAGTTAAAAAAAATAAATAAAAATTCTATGAGACTGTGTCGTGAGCTCTGCAGAAGCAAAAAAAAAGAAAGCCATACGAGTTTATAACGACATGAAGATCAGTATTATTATTATTAATTATTACACGGCTCTGTGGAATACTTGATTCTGATTGGTGAATCGTGCCATCCAGCGGTATGTTATTCCCAGATAACAACCGCCAAATTGAATAACACACCGCTCATCCGGGTACTACAAGTTATCTTGACCGGTACTACTTATATGCTTAACGAGTCACTCCGCTATCGTTGACTGTCTGGCGCCATATTGTGACAGAAAACACTTAACCACCGCGTGTTACAATGGAAGACTTCAGCATTAATTTCAACATATATGGTAAAAACAAATCTTTTTAGCCATGTAATAAGCGGGATAATGTACATCCAGCCGGTTGTTATCTCAGAATAAACCCCAACAGGGTGATCAGGATCCCGACACGACGCATACTTACTTAAGACTAAAACTAATAGTTGTCAATTAAATTAAGCCGAATAAAATAAAATTTAATTTCCGGAATGAGTAAATGACAGATTTTTCATTTTTGCATGAACTATTGCTTTAAGTCAAACCCCAAGCTCTGATTGGTTGATACGGGAATGTTGTTCCAGGAAGTTCAACTTGGTGAAATCATAAGCTGGGCTCGATACCACATATATATTGCGAAAAGCAGTGTTTGTGAGGTGTAGCATGTCTGAATTGACTATCCTGTGAGGCCACAGCTGAGGAGTTGAAGTGTAGGCCATGTGACAGTCCCAGAATGGTGGATGTAGTACATCTGAATTCACTACACACATACTACAGTATATAGAGCATACTTTTTAATGGTCGCAAAGGAAGTTTCTGATCCTACTCAGACAGTGTGTGTTTGTTTTGGGTTTTTCAATACAGACCTAAGTAGCAGATCTTCAGGAGAACATCAAGTTCTCTCTTGAGGACGACCAGCAGGAACTGATTTTGTTCCTGATATTTAGTTTCAAGCATAACTGGTGTTAATGTGTGTCTCAGATTCCACGATACAGCTGATGAAGGGTCTGTATGTGTAGCACTGCAGGCGCTGAGCGTGTGTTGTGGTGTGTACGGATGTGTAATGTAGTGCTGTGAAGAGTCAGAGTTGGGTGCTTCACACTCAGGGAGGCGTGTTATTGACTGCTGCTCTCACTCTCACACTGCTCTGAGATCAGCAGGTAGTGGAATAAAGCTTCTGGTCAACACAGTCTGCTCAGTGAACACAGAGCTTAAACCTTTATGAGCTGCTCACTGAGAGACCACAACGTGTTACATGAGTGAAATCATAGCAGGAAAAAATAAACATTAAAAAGGGATGAATAATAAAACAATAGTCAAAATACTTTGTTGATTTAGTGTGCAACTGTACAGGAGAGAATATTATTAAGGCTTTATTTTATTTCATTTATTTAATTTGTTTCACTGATTATATGAATATAAAACTAAAACTGTTAAAATCATTATCAGTAATTGAAAAAAATCTGAAAATGTTGCCTTGGCAAAGCTTTAATATATTTTAATTTGAAGTACTACTCCTAAACTGAAATTAAATTAAATGAATGCTATATGTAAATATTTAACAACAACAACAACAAAATTACAGCACAAGCATCTAAAACGTTACTAAGTAGTAATAGTAATACTTTACTATTACAAAGAAAACTGAAAATATAAAAAGATCATTAATACTTCCTATAATATTATATAAATAATACTAAAATAACACTGATAAGGATGAGTAAATGGTAACTAACCAAAAATTGTATTTATTTATTTATGTTTTAAGATATTTGGTCTAACAGCAATTTAATGATTTTTAAATAATCATTGTGATTATATATAATTTTTATATCCTTATATAACTTTTATCATATAATATAATATATTAATTTATATATTTTTATATTTCTATACAATTATACAAAAATGAAATAAGTAGCCTACAAATAATGAATATTCAAAACAAATAATTAATAAACTAATATATAGACAAATATTTATTATCTAGTAGGCTATTTATTATTACTTTTGTTATTATTATTATTAGGCCTACATGTATTTATTTATTTATTTATTTTACGTGCAGAATTCCTCATTTGTTTCATTCTTAAAATGTTAAAAAAATATTTGGTCTAACAGCGGGGAAATTATTGCAAAATTAAAAATGTTCATTGCCGTTTCATTGCTGTCAGAGCTCATCAGCTGCGGCACTCTTGGCGAGCTTCTCCGTCAATCAAAATTAAGCGCTGCAGCTCAGCCTCAGCACGACAAATTACCAATCCTACTACGACACAGGCGCATCTCATTAATATGCATTAGGGTTTGCTGGCGTCACACGCTCATCCTCCAATGGCTAAGCTTCTTTAGTAGATTTCATGTACATGAAAGCAAATGACAATACATAAATACTGAAATCAATAAATATAATACATATTCAAAGAATTTATTAATAAAGTTGTATTTATAAAAAAAAATGCAGGACTAAATTTATATCGCATTATACACATGTATTTATTTAACATACAGAACTACTCATTTAATTCATTATTGATTATTAAAAAAAATGGTCCTCTATTTGTTTCTTAGGCTTCAAAAAATGGCTTTTTAATATTAATTCATGGCTATCCAATGGCGAAGGCTTAGCTCATGAATATTAATAAGCATGCCTTCGCCGTAGTAGCGTCGGCGGATTCGCAGACCGGCCAGGCCGGCCGCGCCAGAGAGAGAGAGAGAGAGAGAGAGAGAGAGAGAGAGAGAGAGAGAGAGAGAAGCCGCGCAGGTCCCCGCGATGCCAGTCGGATCTTCAGCCGCCCGGTTCACCCCGTGAGAAGGAAGGGAGAGGACACATTAAAAGAGCCCTTTTCCCCACCTCAACCACAGACTCTCTGTCTGAAACGGGCAGGAGAAACAAAAGCAGACGTCGTTAAATTGGAGTAAAGCGCGTCCTCCGGTGCAGCGCAGCTATAAGAGGATTGCTGTATCCCAAGAACTGCAGCGCCGCGTGAAGTGTGTTTAGACGGGGACAATGTCATTGTCAGGGAAAGAAAATAGCACTAGCCCTCATGCCAATTACGTGGGACCGTACCGCTTGGAAAAGACCCTCGGGAAAGGACAGACAGGTTTGTGCTTTCGGGCATTTCAGCTGTATAATGCATTGCGTTATGATCTCCATAAGAGAGAGCAGCCTGTGTCCGGTGGGCTGATATTGTGTGGTTGTGTATATTGTGAGGTGCATATGCTGTTGGATGCATGTGCCATTGATTTGTTTCGGTGTTCAGTAAGATTGTAACAATGTGTCTCTGCATCCTTCAGCAGCTCGGGTGTGTTGCTTGCAGCACTGGGATCTGAATGCGCGCTCAGGAACTTGTGCGCTTGAGTTTTACATGATGCATTGGTGCATTTATGCAGAAGTGCTAAGAACTACCTGCCCGATAGCTTGAACTTTTCTCAGAATAGGGTCTCACCACCATTCACACCTTCGGCTTTTCATTAGCATGTGGCCATAAGGGTTTACAGGAGTATGATGGCAACATCTGAAACTGATCATTCACAAATTACTGCTGTACTTTTTGGTTTTGACGCTAGATATCGATCATTTGCGAATTTATACATAATCCAGATATGGTTGTGTTACATATATATTTAAGTTTTTTTTTTTACTTGCAAATGTAGTATTAAATATGAAATAAAATGTTTTTTAATATATAATAATTTTTAATATCTGCATTTATTTGTGTTTTATATATTACAAATTATATATATAATTAAAGAAAAAGCTTTTGTATAATATCATATAAAATATGACTGTAAATGTGAAGTGAGCATGTGCCGGGGTGGCAGTATCACTGCAAGGAGAAAGTGATGCAACACTTTATTGCTGTTTCGGCCCATCTGCCATCCCTGAATATTACAATAGCAGTGATTTTCTTGCAACCTCTCCACCAGAAGATGCTTAGCACATGTTTTTGGGAAGATGATTGTGCGGATTTTTGGGTTGACTGTCTAGTCTTCTTGAGCTGATGTTAAAAGGCTGATTGGTAGGATTTTATATATGGTCTGATTGCTTAAAAATGGTGGTTCGATCAGTGGCGTTTTTGTCATAGTTGTTCTGCTATTAATGGGAACATGAGATTGTATGTTTTCTGATAATAAGATTAGGCAGTCGGATCAAAGTTCAGATCCTCTGTGTGAAGTCAGAGCCTTTTATTGCATGTATTATTTTCATTTATGGATCTTTTTAATTTAGTAACAAGCATTTAGACACTTCAGCCACATTTAACATCTATGAAGTGAAAACACCTTAATGATGTATTTATGTCTTATAAACGCACATCTTTTCACATCTCAAGACATTAACTGATGGACTGGAGTGGTGTGGATTGCTTGTGATGTTTTTATCAGCTGTTTGGACTCTCATTCTGACGGCACCCATTCACTGCAGAGGATCCAGTGGTGAGCAAGTGATGGAATGATGCATTTCTACAAACTGGTGAAGGAACAAATCTACAGGATGGCCTGAGAGTGAACCATTTCTTTAAATAATGAGAGTTTTGTTATAACACGAAGATATTCAGAACTTTGAAAGTGTCCGAATATCTTTCAGCCACTGTAAACCGATCTCCGTTTCACTGAATTCCCTGGCGGCAGCTGAAATGCGTAATCCGCGCACATGCACGGCCTACAGGAATCAGCTTGTTCCTCATAGATCACACAGTAGTATGTCAACTACCGCTTTCCTTTGTTAGTCTGCATGTCTGCCACCTGTCTGCTTAATCAGATCAGCACGACGGGCACATTTGCGATGCATCTAATGCGTCTGACTGTTACCACTATGCCTTTTTTTTCCTCAGATATTTGACGGCCAAGCTTAGTCCTGCTTAGCTCACTATCCAGGTATCATCCAAGAGTCTGAAGACGGATGGCCAGTGATTGTTGGCTTCCTGATGCCAGCTCTGTGTTTTATTTATAGTGTAAAGCAGAAGGCCGGGGTTGATCTAGGCGTCCTGGGCAATGCCATGTTCATTATGTGATTAGGATCTGACACAAACACACGTGTGTTTGTAATCCCTCATGGTAAGACTCTGGCTCACACATGCTTTCACGTGGACCGGAGACTCGACGGACCACACGTAGAAGGGAGGAGGTGAAGTAAAGGTCAAATTTTGAAGTCAGAAGAGCCTCTGGTTTCTTGTTGCTTGGGAGTTCCTCGGTCTGAGTTAAAAATGCTGGTTTAAGACTGTGGCACGGCTTATTTTAACTGCAGCTTCTAATTGTATAAAGAGCATAATTTCATATCTGCTGCTGTTGTGTAAAGACTGGGGGTGGAATCGTGTGATTTGCTACAATGACGCAGCTCCATTACAAGTTGTATATTTCCACTTCCCTTCACTGATCTAATACAGGACGCTTGCAATAGGTTTATGGAAGATGCTTATCGAGAACGGTTGCCCGTGTATGGCTGACTGAATGGCAAACCTGGACGTGCTCAGACTGAGTTTGTGAACATTTTCAATCATTCAGGACATTGTAAATATCATGTAAAATGTATTTGTAAAATTTGAAATGAAATATATATTTTTAAATGAAATATTATCTTATTATTAATAATATATTTAATTATAATTATAAATGGTACATTTAATATAAATATTCAATTTGATTAAAATGTTTGTGTGTGTGTATGTGTATATATATATATATATATCTTTTTTTTTTTGAAGAAATATTAATATGTTCTAACCATTTTTGGATCATCTGGGAGGTCTCTCTATCTGTAACGTTTTCAGTCATTCAGTTAATTTAATATATCTTTAAATATAATATCTAACATTAATAGTACATTTAATTGAGTATTTAATTTCATTTTTCCAGACATTTTGCTGATCATCTAAAGGTCTCTATCTGTAATTGTAGTTTTTATTATTATTATTTGCTGCTATTTAGGGTGCTACAGTTTCTGGCTTTGTGTGTCATTGGTATTTTAGGACGAAATAGGAAATTTGTTGTTGTTGTTGCTGTGTTTTGGTCACAGATGGGATGACAACACGCTCGGTTTTGGCATCATTGCTGGATTTTTAACAGTTTCCACAGTAGCGAGGCACAATAAGGCAATCAGGGTGTTTGTTCTCCTTATCACTGAAATCTGAGCTGCTCTGAACTCTTCCGATTCGACAGAGCAATTGTGCTTTTAACTTCCTCCTTTGTGTGTTTTGTGGGCAATAATGGCTAGCATGTTTAGTTGTGTTTTCTAGCTCAAGATTTTTTTTTTTTACTGTATCTCTTCAGTGTAGTGAGCTTAGGTTGTTTAGTGTGACGGGTCAAATACTGTTTCACTATTTTTATTCTAAAGGAGTCATAGTTTTATGTCTCCTTTAGACTTCTTTAGACTCCTCTCAGATTGGAACAAGGCTTGTTTTTGCCTGTGGCAAAGTCTGCGTGAGTCTCCTGACTCATTCATTCATTATGTGAACATTACGCCTGGCCTTCGGCTGCAAGACGGATGACTTCATGATGGTCAGAACAGTTTCTTAAGCAGACGAATTGACGTTCTGAATCTCTCAAGGATTGAAACAAGCTTCAAGCTTCACAACCCAGAGCAGTTGGTTGGCCTTTCACCACTTTTTTTAAACAAAACGCATCAGTTTTTCTCTCAACTATTAACCTTGTGTGTTTTGACCGTATTAGCAGCACAATCAGACGCGAAAGAGACATTTTAATCGTCCACGATCAAAAATCATGATATCGGACACCCCTATCACAGACCTTCCAGAATATTCCATACATAAATAATGTATACAGAGAATAGCTTATATACGGCATACTACAGAAATTATACAAGGTTTATAGTAGCATGCAGTTCTGAACGTAGACCATTTCTACACTGCAAACGAGCAACAGCTTCATTGAATATAACGGAAGCATTCTCTTAAATAATCACAACCTCTCCACCAAATGTGCCCTTGTGCCTAATGTTGCAAATTTGCAAATGCAGAAAAATCAAATATAGGCTAATCACAAGCCCGTTTCTGGCCTGCAGCGAGTGAATGAGTGTTTATATGCCCGTAGCATGAAAATTCAACTGAGATCTCTCAAAAACATATTGCCTCGCTGTTTTACATCAGCTGCAGAGAAAGAGTGCAAACTGCCAACGGCATTGATGTTTTTGTCCGAGTCGATTTCTGAATGATAGTTATGAATTGCTGACTGAGAACCGTTTGTCAAGATCTTCATTCATCATTTATGCAGTGCCTCTTATAGCGGTTAAAACAGCCGTTCACCTAAAAATTCAAATCTGAACCTCTGTGACTTTCTTTCTTTTTCCGTACAATGGAAGTGGATGGGGACTGGAGCTGTCAAGCTCCAAAAAGCACCTTAAAAGTATCTTGCACACTACTTTCCAAGTCTATTCTGTGTTTGGGTGAAGAAATAGTCACACAAGGTTTGAATGAGCAGATGATCGATTTTTGAATTTGAGGTGCGCTGTCTCTTTAAATGTGCTTTTCGTTTTGTGCAGTTGGGTTTGTTGGGCAGACTTTATTGAGCTCTGTTTGGGGTGTAACCCGGCGTATCGGAGGCTGCTGTTTTGTCGTCAGGTTTTTGACAAGTGGAAAAGCCCTGAAATTGTCACAGAATGATGGGGCCGCTACGCTCAATTTTCCTTCAATTCTAAACGCTATCAGAGATTTTCTGTTTTCTTGGGCTCCCGTCGACTGATACGCATCTGTGCTGTCTCTCTGTTTACATGCATGATACATTGTCAAGCGAATTTGATAAACAACATAATCAGGCTCGCTGTGTGCCGTTTAACATGGAATCGTGTTATTTTGATTGATTCTCAAACATCACCAGAGTTGGATGCTCAAACATACTTTGCAGAAAACTCTATCTGTTCCAGTCATATGATGAAAAAATGTCCTCGTGCTCCGATATACATCCACTGCTGTTTCTTTAAGAAATTAATTCAACAAGGATGCATTAAGTTGATCAAAAGTGACAGTAAAGACATTTATAATGTTACAGAAGATTTCTATACATAAAAAAAAAAAATCAAAGAATCCTGAAAAATAAAGGTTTCCACAAAAATGTCAACATATTATTTTCAACATTGATAATAATCTGA